ATGCTCCTGTGTCATACAGCCACTTCCCGCCTTTGGAGTGATATTTGTCTGGGCAGAGTGAGAGAGTGAAATTCTCTCCAGAAAGCTTGAGAGTCAGAAACCGGAAAGGAGTTACTTTGAAATAAGATTTAATCATCTAATTTAAAGACTAAGTGATTTAGAGTTTACATTTGAACCGTCTTTAGCATCTTTTGTTAGCATTTAGCAAACAGGAAGGTTAGCATAATTAGCATTACTAAGAAACATCAGTGTATTTTCCTAACAGAAAATGTAGAACCTCTGCTTAATATTAAGATTTTCAAAAGACTGCCAACATATCCAAATCCAGGCTGAAAGGTTCTTAGAGATAAGAAGAGGTAATTTATGTAATATTCTCAACCTTCTTGTTGACTGCTGAAAGTCTTGCTCTGTCTTGCATTTAGAGTAAACCACAGATATACCTTGACTCTTCATAGAAAATACTACGTTCTTAATTCTCTGCCCTAACTTCATGTTTCACACCTTCCTCATAGTGAAAATAGCCAATTCAGCATCTTCCTCCTTCAGTAACAGCATCCACACTCAAGACTGTTGTCATTTGTGCAACATGTTAGCACTTAGCTGAGAGTCTTTTCATTTTCCTGTCGCCAGTTGATTTTCTTTGCATCTCTGATGTACACCTATGCATTTTGAACCGGACAGATGATCAGTACTGATCCATATTACGGAGAACTCTCATTCTGCAGATCCCTCTCAAACAACAACCTGCAGCAGCTGCCCAGAGATCTCTTCAAACATCTGGACATCCTCACAGATTTGTAAGTTTGCCATGTTATCATGAACTCTTTAAGCAGAACGGTCAGTAGCTCAGTTTCTTTTTTCTTTTTTTTTTCATCTTTATGATTCAGAGACCTGCGTGGGAACTCGTTCCGCTGCGACTGTAAGATCAAGTGGCTGGTCGACTGGATGGAGAAGACCAACACTTCGGTTCCGGCCATCTACTGCGCCAGCCCCTTTGAGTTTCAGGGTCGCAGAATCCGAGATCTCACTCCACGAGACTTCAACTGCATCACAGCAGGTTTTTTTTTTTTTTTTTTAGTCAATCTGTCTGCATCAGTTTGCTGAAGGTCATGGTGTAGTTTCATTGGTGTTCTCACTCTGATTTCTCATCCAACAGACTTTGCTGTGTATGAAACCTTCCCTTTCCACTCGGTGTCAGTGGAGTCCTATGAGTTCAGTGGAGATCAGTTTGTGGCCTTCGCTCAGCCCGACTCTGGATTCTGTACCCTGTACATATGGGATCATGTGGAGATGATCTTCAGAAGGTTTCACAACATCACTTGTAAGTTTTTGGTTGTGACAATAAAAAACGATACATTGTACTCTGTAAATAATGAAAGCCTTATTCCTTCGGCTTCCCTCTTTCTCTTGCAGCTCGCTCGGCCGTGTACTGCAAACCTGTTGTGATAAACAACACTCTTTACATGGTTGTGGCTCAACTTTTTGGTGGATCTCACATATACAAGTAAGGCCTGAAGTTCAGCTTCATATTTAGTAGTGACTGCAACTGAAAGAAACAGCTCATTGGCAAATATTTAATGGTTTCCTTTTTAAAAAAATTTAAAATCCCGTATCCTTTTTTTTTCATCTACTTTGCACAAGTTTATTCCATTCAATTCCAATGATATAAATTGAAGTTTGTGGTTGTAATGTGATTAAATTTGTCAAGAAGCTCAAGTTCAATTCGAACTCTTTGCTAGAAGTCAGCTATCTAAAGGTTTGTGAGTGTGTGTATTGTTGTTTCCCCCGTTTGTCTCTGTGTTAGTGTGAGTTAGCTTGGCATACACACCTCTCACCCAATGACTGATGGGGATAGATCCCAGTCCAATGACCACATAGGGATTACGCATCTATAGTAAATGGATGGACTGAGGCAGAATTTGAAGAAAGGTTCTCTTGTAAAAACTGTTAAGTTGATATCTCTTTGGAAAAACAGCAGATATTCGTTGTTTTTCCATTAGTCCTAATATTAGCTCTGAATTTTGGGAAATACCTTGACAGCCTTTGTGTGAACGTAGGTGGGAGGAGGGACCGCAGCGCTTTATAAAGATCCAAGACATCGACACCAACCGAGTGAGGAAACCAAACTTTGTGGACACCTTCCTGCTGGATGATGAGTGGTATTTCATTGTGGCAGACAGCTCCAAGGCGGGCTCCACCAGCATCTATCGCTGGAACAGCAATGGCTTCTACTCCCATCAATCCCTCCATCCCTGGCACCGGGACACTCACGTGGAGTTCATAGATGTTGGCGGGAAGCCTCACCTCATCCTGTCCAGCGCCTCTCAGCCGCCCGTGGTCTACCAGTGGAACCGGAACCAGAAGCAGTTCACTTTCCATTCCATAATCACGGAGCTGGCAGACGTGCAGATGGTCAAGCACTTCTGGGTGAGAAAGGTCCTCTACCTCTGCCTCACGCGCTTCATTGGCGACTCCAAGATCCTGCGCTGGGAGGGACAGCGCTTCGTGGAGATCCAGACTCTGCCCTCTCGGGGGTCGATGGCGGTGTATCCCTTCACGGTGGGGCCTCGTCAGTACCTGATCCTGGGCAGTGATTTCTCCTTCTCCAGAGTGTACCTGTGGGACGACCTCACCCAGCGCTTCCAGCCCTTCCAGGAGCTCAACATGAGGGCCCCGAGGGGCTTCAGCCTGGTGTCCGTCGACAACAAGGACATTCTGCTGGCCGCCAGCTTCAAAGGCAACACCCTGGCCTACCAGCATCTGGTGGTGGATCTCAGTGCCAAATGAGCAACAGGAGGTGTTCACCTACCTGCAATTTAAAATGTGCCAATAAGACTGCAAAAATGTCAAAGCCATGTAACTGAAAGTCTGCTGTTTCCTCTGAGGTTTTGAGTAAGTCAACTAATTACCTGATTATTTATGATCTTTTGCACTATTGTTTAAAATCTAATTGAGTTATGTCAAAATTAGAGTTGTGCAACTGTTGAATCACTGTTCTATTTAAAGAAATGATGGCTCGACCATTGTTTTTATTCTTTGTGTTGTATTTAACTAATATCTAAATAACATGCATGTACATTTTCAGAATTGTTTGAAAGATCACACTGGAAGTTGAATAACTGAGAGGAAAATTATGTTTTGTACTCTATATGGTGAAATGAAAACCCTTTTGCACGACACTGTGTATAAAACAAGCTAACCCTAAAACACGTAAAACACTTTGTTTCATACCCATATGTATATATATCATCAACATAAATCTGTTTTTGACTAAATGCTTGTTCGAATCAAATCAACATTTTGTCATCATTCATTGTAATGCCAATGCAATGTCCACAATAAAATGAGATTGGTGTAAGAATTTCAAAAAAGTGTAAAATCTTAGCAGCCATTCAGCATTTTAATAGTTTGTACTGCTGCCTTCAATGCTGCTGTTCCAAAAATTTAATGTAAAGAGTGTGAGGAGCCCATAATGCAGCAGCTCTTATTAAGATTTTGTGCACAGGGTAAAGGAGACAGTCTGTACTGTTGCTGGACTTGTTCTGCCATGATCAAGGAGTAGTAAGATACAATAATGGGAACACAAACAAAAAAATATATATATAAGTTAAATAAATTAAATCTTTCTTGGTATAATCATAACATAATGTAGAATTCAAAATTTATTTTACATGTTATGGTAGACATGATTGTTTCTCCCTATTCAATCAGAAGCTTTTTCAAATTCACTGTAACACAGACTGCTACACGAAATCTTTCCTGCTATCAACTATGGCAGGAAAGAAGTTATCTATATAACTCTTTGAAAAATTTGAATTAGTATGAGTTGCAACAGCATTTAAATTCCCTTTGGTATCAATGTTTGAATTTAAATTATTTTTTTAATTTGAATTTGTATATAGGAATGGTATTCTTTTTGGGCCTATTAGTAAGATCAAATATTATAATTTAAATTTTAAAAATAAACTTAGGTCTTTTTGCTTATAATGCAACTAAATTCTAGAAAAAAAAAAGGTCAAATAAATTCATGGCAGTGCCTTCGGTCAGATGCCTCTTTCAGACTGCTCTAATACAGACTGCTACAGGAGATCGATCCTTCCCATGGCCATTAATATGTACAACTCATTGAAGAAAATTGTATGAGTTACAAGAACATTCAATTGCCTTCTGGTATTACTTTAGTATTTCTGAATCTAACTGTATTTGATTAGTGAATATTTGTTATGGAATAGCAGCAAAAGAAAACAGTGCCATATTGTGGTAGAATGGGGAAAATACCCAGAAACTGTACTCAAGTTATAAGGTCCCTAATTCAGTATATTATTACTCAAGTAAAAGTAAAAAGTCGCAGTTCAAGAAACTAAGGTTATTTGAGTATTGAGTAATTGATCAGAACATCTATTTTGATATTTAAAAAATTCATCAGGTAGATAAAAATATCAATTATGTGCAATTTCTGGTATTTGAAAGATTGATGTGCAAAATAAATACACATAAGTAAGATAATTACCAGATACAAATTCAGGGAGAAACACCAATTTTCTTTTTCTCTATAAAACATATGAAACCAATACCTGTAGTAGGTGATGTAGACCAGGGCAAAGTACTTCCAATTGAAAATAATATCTTCACTGTATCTTCTTGACCTCCAACTGGCACAATAGGTACAAAAGACAGAAAACAATATTAGAACAATGAAACTTGGGTACAAACAAGATGTTTCATTCAAACATAAACTGGTGTGTAGCTCGATGCTTCCACGGTTTTCAGGTCTCCGTGTTTACAGCTACTTACTATTTCTCAAAAAAATCGCTGCCCTCTTATATGCGTATAAATGTTGCAACTGTTAAGTTCCTTAGCAAAATACTGGGTGCGTTTTCTTTACTCTACAGCGCGTCTCTGGGTGGGCGGTAGCCTGGTGTCAAGAGCAGAGGGAAAGCCGCCGCTTCCCCGTCTTGGTGTAAATAATAAACACACACAATCATTTTTTTGTTGATATGTAAAAGCTAGCTCCGCGTTAGCATGAGTTTACAACACCGTGGCGAAGTGAAAGTCTCTGACAGTTGATTTTATACACCGGAGCCGTAATTTTCTTCGACAAAAGATGTGCGAACCGACATGCTATCTAGCAATAGCTGCTAATATTAGCCTTCTCTCTCGAGTTCACCGTTGCCAGTGTTAAATCTAGCTTTCCTCGCAACCAAGTTACCGTGACAAGCTGCTTTGAGTGGCGAATCAGAACCTTTTCAGTGTGGGCTTTATGAAATGTCTACCACTGCGGAAATGAGCCTGCCACCTGAGTGGAACGACGACGAGCGGATGAACTTTATGTTCTCCGAGTTCAAGGAGAACCGGGATGTGAACACCACGGACTGGGACAGTAAGATGGACTTCTGGACAGCTCTCATTATGCGGAGCTGCAGACGGCGCGGCTCCGTGATTGTCAACCTGCAGGATCTCAATAAGACCTTCCAAAGGAAAGAGAAAACACCGCTGGGCCTTTCGACTGTAATCCAGACCATGGCCAGGTAACTGTGGGCGTGTCGGTGCTTGTCAGTATTATCGTCAGTCATGTTAACTCTCTCTCTCTTTCTGTGTGTTCCTCTCGGTCAGGTGTGGGAAGATCCAAAGAGAGTCTGAGTTCGCCGCCAGCGTGGACTGTGGGTGGGTTTCCTGGAGTGTGGGGATGCTGCTGGTGAAGCCACTCAAGTGGACCTTCTCCACGCTTCTGGGCAGCAACAGAGTTCCTCTGGAGGAGTCTTTCGTTGTTATCGAGCTAGTAAAGGTTTGCCATGCCCTTGTTGTTTCCATAGAAGACACAGTCCTTTGCATAACGCTTTAACTTCTGCTTAATTTGATACATTACAACCACAAACCGAAAGTAGAACTCTGAAAAGTGTGGCATGCATGTGTAGTCAGTCCCCGTTGGATTTTATTTGGGTTATCAGAGTAAATGTGGTAAATAGAAATGCATGACACTTTTTGTCGTGTGTTGATCTCTTGCATAAATTGCTAATAAAATTGAGTAATTTTTTTTTCCAAGAAAAGGGTTATGAATACTTTCACAAGGGTACTGCATCTACTATACAGTCGGATTTGTTTTAAGATGCAGCTGTACTGGATGGTTTCCTATTTCGTTCTTCTTCTTTTTCAGGAGAAAGCCACGGAACTGCTAAAGGTCTACCGAAGCAGTGACTTTTCAAGCTGCTCCGTCGTCTCATTTCAAGAGTTGTGCACTCTGTCCTCCAACATCTGCGCTGATGAAAGCACCCTGTGCATGGCTCTGCTGCAGCTGCAGAAGGACAAGCAGGTCATAGTTTCCTTGCACGAGGGAGAGAAGGTAAAGCGGAATATAATCACCGTTGGGACTGCACGATGTTAGGAAAACATGGTTCAAGAATGCCACCACAGTGATGTGATTATTATCTTTCTGTTTTAGGTCAGTAGCAGAACACAGATAGTCAATATTTCTGTCTGAACAAAGAGGTTTTATTGTTACTCTGCTAAACAAATTAGTTATAGTTTCTTAATGATTTAAAATGAACTGTTTACCCTCAGAAACTCTTTACAACAAGTGACACCAGATACATAACAAAAATAAACAGTCAGAATGAGTAGCATTCAATAATTAGCTAACACTTCTGTTACTTCATAATATGCAGTAACAGAACATTGTTTTTCATATGTTGTGCAGCTCTAATCAAAGGCAACTAAAAAGTTTAAAAATACAACACAAGTGCTTTGTACGATACATGAAGACGTACCTGATTTCTTCTGTTTTCCAGATTGTGAAGTTTTGCCAGCTGGGACAGGATCGTGTGTCTCCGTTTGGTGACATAGACATCGGGATCTACCAGCTGCAGCGCAGTGAGAAACTTCTGGAAGAGCGTGTGCAGAAACTGAACCTGGAGGCTGACAGGTTGATCTTAGACATGAACGTTCCTGTTAGACGTCTAGTTCTTGTATAAGAAGTGCGAATTACTTTAATTCAAGAGAGCCAAATGCAGAGGGTTAGATTTGGATGCTTGTTTAGCATAATCTCACAATGGAAAATACTGAAACTCCCCCCAATAATAATACAATTTCAATAGTTGCAGTTTTACTAAACTGTACTCTTAAAAAATGATTTCTAGGTGCAAAGAGGAAGCAAGAATTCTGCTGCGAGATGGGAAGAAAACACAGGTCATTATAAACAGAAACTTATTTTAAGACGCAACCTTTGAAATCACAGCAGCAGTTTAAGTTGAATTTCTGTCTCCAAGGCGCTGAGGTGTTTGAGAGGCCGGAAGAGAGTGGAGAAGAGAGCAGACAGCTTGTTCGCCAAGCTGGAGACCATCCGGGGAATCCTGGAGCGAATAGCGCAGTCACAGACTGATAAAATGGTATGAAGCGCCTTCGCGCTTTGATGTCCACATGTCTTCTGTAACTAAGTTTTCCTTCATTGGTTAAAGAGTGTGTTCTGGTGTGTGTGTAGGTCATGCAGGCCTACCAGGCTGGAGTGTCTGCTCTGAGGATGTCGCTTAAAGATGTGACTGTGGAGCGCGCCGAGAATCTGGTGGATCAGATCCAGGAGGTACGCAGTCGTCGTTAAGCCAGGAAGTTGTATATTTAGATTATTTATTAGGTTTTTATTATTTTCTCCTGTTCCATACTAACAGTTATGCGACACACAAGATGAGGTGAATCAAACCATTTCCAGTGGTGTAGCTGCTGCAGGTAAGTTCTTCTGTTCCTACTTGGCTTAATTTTATTTTTCATTATTATTTATTTTATTTATTTTTAGCATAATAGGATCATGTCACATGTAAATATAAAGAAACGTTTCACTCAAAAGTCCATTTACTATAACTTGTGCAATTAAGCACCAATAAACCTCGTTTCAACACAAAACAGTGATTGTTATCAAAACATTATCACTGTTTTGTGATTAAAAAAAGAAAATAACAGAAAAAAGACATATTATCCTTGTAATGGCACAGCACTCAACTGAGTCAATGTGCCTCAATTTAGCATATTATATTTTAATATTTTCTTAAAAGTAAAAATGTATAGTCTCTTTTTTTCCATTTGTTTTAGTTCTTTGGGTTTTTTTTGTGTTTTTTACTTCTGATCCTCTCCAATTATAAATGGAATCTTTTTTTTCTAAATATTTTTTTTGCATATGTATTTAGTATTTTTAAGCATAACTTGCAGAATATATTAGTCCACCACGTCGTGAAATTCCATAAATTTGAAGAACGAAGGATTTGTTGGACCTCTGTAGCGTTTTGTGCTTAAAATTCTAACAGCTGCTTTTTTTTTTTTTTACAATCATTCCCCCAACACTTCTACTCAATAAGTCTGACAAGGAGTGATCACTTTATTGACATATTATGCGTTTTGTCAGTAGATGAAGACATGGACGAGTTGGAGAAGGAGCTGAAAGCGTTGCTGGATGAGTCGGAGCCAGATGTGAACACGTCGGGTCTACCTGCAGTCCCAACGAACCGCCTGGGTCCCACCAGTGAGCAGACCCTCAGTTCTCTGCCCGACGTACCCCGCGGCCACTTGCATGTTACCACTGACGCGCTAGAGGAGGAACTGAATCGGTTAACCTTGTCAGAAGCAGGTGCGCAACTTCAGATTCCTTCAGTTCTTTCCGTCTTTCGGACGTTCCAGACAACATGTGTGTCTACTGTCTTTGTTTTCAGGATCTCCACAGAGGAAGGCAACGTCACCAGGGAGGAGAGCAGAGGCCGCTCAGTGATTTTCATCGACATCCAAGTCAAAACAAAGCACTTTACTTAATAAAGACAAGTACAGAGGAGGCATGCCAGTCTGGACTTTCCAACAAATAATGCAGATCTACTTTTTAACTTGCTTGCTGTCATAATTTGAATAACTCTTTGGCTCCAGCGGGAATGCTTTTAAACCGGTTAAGAGAACCGTACAAAAGGTTTGTCCTGTGTTTATCGATTATACGTGGATGCTCGTTGTGTAAAGTGTGTGATAGTGGCCTTCTGAGGTGTAAAGTCGAAGCTGTGTAACGGAAAGACATGCCAAATGATTTATCATAACCAAGTTTATTGTTGAGATGTACCTGGAAGGATGGAAAAGAATACCTAAAGTGAGTTTAACCAAATATGTTTGTCAAAAAATAAAATTTATTTTAATCACTCGTCTTAAGGTTTATTTGTGTTAAATCAATTAAAAATAAAAAGCCCTGTTGGTCTACTACACTCATCCTAGCAATGCTGACAACAGTGTGAATCCTCTTATCATTTGATTGTTTCAAAATTTCTGACAAAATAGTTTTAAGGTGACTCCTCTGCGCCATGGCAACTTCTGTTCTTTTCAAGTTAAAATCCACTGTTTTGGGTTATTTCTCCTTTAAGTTTGGCAATCTAATAATCATCTAACCTCATCTTAGGGGCACCGCTGTTGACAAACAAACCTGGCCCAGTACCCTTCCTCCAGCTTTTCCGACATTCATTCAAACCAAGTAACCAAACGAAAAAAAAAATAAAAGCATGGTAGTAATATAATGATTTGTATTCTTTAATGACAAGTGATTTTATTGTGAAAAGCAGGCTATTAAGATATTTAATTACCATTATTTTGGTGGTGTGACAGGTACAGAGTGCATCAGGATTGTTTTTCTTTTTTTTTCCTTTTTCCTGTTGGGTCATTAATAAACAATAATAAAAAAAAACAATACAAATTGACAGCCTTTTAAAAAGTACAGTTGGTAATATCACAATATCCAGCAGTGTTTTAAAAATGCCCTTGTACGACAAAAAGCATTAATGAATATTGTTCAAACCTAAACGAAATCCTCCGTCATCTTTCCTCAGACACGCTTGCGCTCTCCTCCTCGCTCACACACAGGCAGAAACACTCCCTGCTTACACATATATATATGTATATAAATATCCATATTGCATTAAAATATGTCCAATGCTGCTTCCTTCTACGAAGCAAAGGAAAAGCTTCAACTCGATAACCGGCACATTTCAGTTACACACATCGCAGCTTCTACCTACGGTCACGTGAGTATACAGATACCAAATTTAAAAAAAAAAGATATTTACGGAGCAGCAGTGTGATTACGTCACCTCTATCCTACGAAGCTGCTGCTGACGTCTTGCTATATGGACTGCTGCTACCTCCTCTGTACTCCAGATATGTAAAGGTAACTTCTAGCCATGACTACGTTTCACAGCTTGAGCACGACTAGGCCGGTTAAGCAGGCACTGACGCAGATATTTGGCTGAGACTTGGTTGTTTGCACCACATAAAACAGATCCGACAGGTCGAAGCAAAAAGGTCAAGATGTGAATAGTACAAAAAAAACAAACAAACAAACAAAAAAAACTCATTGGGGAGATTAATAAAACTCATTTGGCGTGCTTGACAGTAGTCCATTTCTACCACAGAAGAAGAAAACGTAAAGGTCCTCATGGAGTACCACGAAATAACGCGTTTGTTTATACTGCCGTGTTGCGTAAAAAGCAGGCTGCACAGTGGTTCAGGCTCTTCGCTGTTCTTGCAGTGTAAGTAAGTGTGTTTATACTAGGGTCAGATGCATAAATAATGCATAAACCAAACACAATGCATGTGCCCTTCTCTACACATTGGATTTGTATGGATGTAAGAGCAATGTGCTAGTGTGAGCGATATTAAACTAAAACCACACAAACAGAATTTGAGGTAAAATGAAACAAGCAGGCTCATATGGAGGAGTTGGAAGACCTTGGTAAGACTTTAATAGAACCATTATTTGCTGCTTTAGCTTTTTGCGGAGGATGATATGTCAGCTCGTGTGCTTTAAAGCCCCACGTGTGCAATACTGTTTCTATTTTCCTTCCGTTGAGGTTTGTTGCTTTGAACTTAGAAAGTGGAGTTGCATATGTAACAGATTTAAATTCAGGCTTTGTTGTGTTCATGGGTTCACAGCCGAGACTAAGCATGTTTCCTCCATACTTTAAGCCAGAAATGGGGTTAAAGTATGACGGAAGTGCATGAGTGTAAAATTTCAAAATGATTTGAATGTACTGACAGAAGCACATCCTGCAGTGCCTGATAAAGGTATTCATATGCCTTGAACTTCTTCTTCTTCTTTTTTTTTTTTTACATTTTACATTAAAATCACAAACTTCAGTGCATTTGATTGAATTTTATGCAATAGGTCAACAGAAATTTCTGCTCCATTGTGCGGGGGAAGGAAAATGATAGTCGGTTTATGAAATGTTACAAACAACAAAAACGTTACATGCATTTGTATTTGGCTCTCTATACTCGGACACCCCTAAATCAAATCCAGACCAAGCAGAGTTCACCATGTGCAAATTAATTTCATTAAAAATATTCAATATTAATTCATTTTGTAGCAGGAAGGTGACAAAACAGACCAAAAGTGAACTTTAGACATGCAAAAACACCGATGTATTGCAGAAAACCAGAACAACCTGAACACACCACTTCAACAGTAAAACATGGTGGTGGGTGATTAGGAACTGAACCTGTTAAAAGCTGCTAAAGACTTAAAAATGAAGCGTAAGGTTGAGCAAAGTATGAGAGCATGGGAAACTGATATGAGTATTAACCACATTATTCAGATTGTTTATAAAACACTTTTAAAAAGCCATGTATCATTTTCCTTCCCTTTTTAAAGTTATGCACTGCGTTAGCAGCAGAAAATCACCTAAAACACACTGACGTTAGCGGTTATGACGTGATCAAATCTGAAAAAGTTCAAGCTGTATGAATACCTCTGCAAGGCACTCTATATAAATCTGGCAAACAGAATGCATAATAAACACATTTTTGCCTTTGTGCTCACGCTCCTTTTAGTCATAAAACCAGAGTTTTATGCATCTGGCCCTAGATGTGCATCTGTGTTAATGCGCAGGTGCAGCATTGCAGTGTTAAACTGTCCTATCGGCTTCTGAGCGCTTCTGCAGAACCTTGTCCTCGTTGACCTGGTCCACTGCCAGCGTCTCCAGCTCGGCCTGCGGCGGGGCGAGGGGAGGGGTGCCGTGCGGGATGCGGTGCGCCACACCCACGTGGGCCCTGTGCTGGCGCTCCCGAGCCGGGCTGTGTCGGGGGCTGGCCGCGGCGCCCAGGGGAGGAATGGGGGAGCGGTCGGAGACGATAGGAGGGATGACTGCGGGGCGCTCACGCACTACCTGCTGCGCGTCGGGAGACTCCCGGCCCGCCTGCAAGAACGGCGTCGGGTCCGGCATGGCGTCCACCGGCTCTCGCAGGACAATCCGCCTGCCGTCCGGGCCCAGGCGATACACTTCCGTTAGCTCCGGGTGAAGAGGCTGGGAGAGGCTCTTCTTCATCCGGCGACGGGGGGTTTCAGGCTGCCTGTCCTTGGCGGGGGGAGGCGTCGGCTTGTAGGAGCTGATGGGGCTGACGTTGGGACTCGCCTCGGAGGAACTTCCAGCCAAAAGCTTCTTCTTTGTGGCGTGAAGCTGCGAGGTGAGGTAAGCGATGGTGCTTGCCCTCTGCTCCAGCTCCCCAGATAACACGGCCAGCTTGTGGCTCTTCATCTTAAGCTCCTCCAGGTACTTCTTCTCCCGCTCTTTGATGGTGTTTTCCAGGACAGAAATCATGGCGTTCTTTTGCTCCAGGTCCCGGAGCAGCTCTGTGTTCTCCTCCTCCTTCTTTTTAAGTTGGGCCTCCAGCTCCTCACACCTCCTTTGCAGCTCCCTGCATCGTTCCTCGCTGCTGTCTGAACACACAGTAATGAGGAACATCACAGCTGTTAAATGTGTGGTATAAGTAAGACATAGATAAGACGAAAAAGAAAAAAACACACACACATTAGACTACACACTCAGGCATTCAGCTCAGACAGTCTGTCAGCACAGAGAGAGACAGCAGGATCCTTTGGAGAGTCGTTTGCAGTGGTCAGAGAGCTCCGGTCTCACATTACAGCTTTTATGGGCTCTCATCTCCATCACTGCAGCTCCTACCTGACTCTGCAACACCTCACTGCAGCCAACTGACTGTGCAGCAAATTACAGTCAACTTCTAATGCAAATTCAGTCATCGTTCGCAAATTTTCTGCTTGGCTTTTTCCAAGTCTATTTTGCGTAGACTTGGAATTTTTTACAAATTATCATAACGTTTCCGCAAAATCTGACCAATCATAAAGTTTTTTTTTTCTTTCTTTTTTTTTCTGAAAAAAAAAGCATCACTGCAACAGGGCTGAATTTTTACAAATCCCTTCCATCCCCTTCTAATTTAACCCCTTGTTTCACAACCTGTAAGATAAAAGCTGTGACGCAAAAGGGTAACATTCGCCTTTTTTTTTTTTTTTTGCAGAAACCATTTTGTATAAGATTTTCTTATACTGTGTATGCAGTCATTGGTAGCGCGTGGGACATATCCCCCACTTTTCTTGTATTTGTGCCCTCTGTCCCGCGCACTTTTTCAGTCGTTACCACTGTTTAGTCAGTTGTTATGGCAATGTGATTTTCCGAACCGTCTTTAAATGCATCATGAACGTGGCATGATGACGCCGGTTACACCTGTGGGTCTAATCACTGAGGGAAGACCGACGCTGAGCTACACGGTCTGTGTCATGTCCAGCAACTAGCCAGAGCCAAAAGGCAAAAAAACATTCCAGTTTTCCTCCAAACAAACCGAGGAAGTTGAGTAATGATGCTGCATCCAGATAATGTTAGCTAAATGGTGGTAATCCATACTAGTTTATCACATGAAGATTGTTTACAAGAACACTAATGTCTTTGTTTACTGTTTTACATCCTTGCTAGTTAGTTAATCCCAGGAATAAACCCAAGCCTCTTTAATTTCTGTTCATAAGTTGTGCTCACTGTTTCCATATATTTAAAGGAAATCATTATTGTCACAACAGAAAGAGCAAAGAGCCAGAGAGGAGACATTAGAGCAGAGGTCAGCAGGGGGACGATGATGCAGAGTTTTCTCAGGTAAGGAGAGATTATAACTTGATTTAAAATAAAAAGAGACAGAAATGGAAGGTATGTGCAACAATTTCAGCTTTTTTATCAGACCGCGTTATAGTAAAACTAAAACTTAAGGGTGTGCTGTGGTGGCGCAGGGGTCAAGCACGACCCCTCATATGGAGGCCTTAGTCCTCTATGCAGCTGTCGCAGGTTCAGTTCCCAGCCTCGGCGACCTTTGCTGCATGTCTTCCCCCTTCTCTCATTACCCACTTTCCTGTCAAATAAAGGCCACTAGAGCCAGTAAAATGTTTAAATAAATGAAACTTAAAACAATTGCAACTACGACCACAACTTTTTGAAAAAGGTGCCAAAAATTCTGTGATTTTAGGGCACAACAATCACAAAAACAAAAACAAAAAAAAAACATAACGTCCTGGAGAGGCTGAAATTACTGTTGTTTATATTCAAATGTTTAGAAACTTGCACCTCACTTCTCATTTCCTGATCTCAGACACCCATTTAAAAATTGAATGGTTGGAAACAAGAGTATCATATTTCCTTCCTGGGGGGGCTGGTGCTTGTCAAGCCCAGTTGGCGCAGCTGCAGTGAGCAGGTTGGACACTGTGCATTAGTGCTGCAACAGATAATCTCATTTCCTGCACTCAAATCTAAGAGATGTCCCACACTAACATGATGGTGAGTCATATTGGAGGCTTTAGCAACGTTGAGCTAACACAGCTCTGTCAAAAAGCCTACATCGTCCCACCGTGATCTCACATGGCACCCTTCATACTCAAGACATCTTTACCAGCAGAGTGTGAATCAGACGAGGATGTGACTTCATGGCATCATGGTTTAGAGGGAAGCGGCAGCTGGGGGAGCTGCAATCAACAGCAGTGAGTCAGACAGACGGAGCAGAGCTTCCTGGGTAAGACTTTGTTACCAGGGAAGAGAGCTGGCAGAGAAAGCTAATTTAGCAGGTGACATTCATTTACAGCTCTCTCTGGTGCAGAGTTTGCTCTGTAGCTGCTGTTGGAAAGTGGAGCACTCCCGTAGATGCCATCACAACATTTTGAAATCGCACATGAACTTATCAGACTTTTTTTTTTTTTTACATGAAAGTGATTACTGAATTATTTTTGAAACAGAATGTTGTTAATAGCAACTGACATTTTGCTTCAGATTTCACAATCTCCAGTTTTTCAAAAAGCTTTGATCCACTGAAAACCATCTTAGCTAATCACACTTTCTCTTGGACTATAAGCAGGGATAAGAACATGCAAGCTTTTTTTTTTCTGGCCTTCCTGATATGTATGATTATTAATTGTTCAGAGTTGGAGCAGAGGCAATTAAACTCTTTTTGACGTCTTAAATTAGCCATTAGCACAGATGAGTATAGCTAGCATGACTACACTATTCCTTATAAAATGCTAAGTCCTTAGCTAAATTTGACACTTCCAATATGTGGATTAACTGGTTTTGGATGCTGTGCAGTTACAAAAATTTTTGTTTTTACTTGTTTTGTGTTTAACTTTCAGACAAGTTGTGAATGTGGGTAACCGTGACAATAGGATATTGTTTTTACAGCTGGGAGTAGTAGCTCAGCATTTTAAATTAGCATCTCAAATAATGCCTGAACTACAGCCCCACACCCTAAAGGAGTTTAAAGACGCAGAGCAGGACAAAAGAGCAGAGAATCTCAGACACAGATTTAAAGAGGAGAGGCAATAGCAAATGAAGTGGATTAGGATGAAATTGTTGATGGATGTTTAGTGGCATGAGATAAAATATAATCCATGATTATTAATGATTTCATTTCAGCTAGTAAAGACGTGCATGTTTTTTGTTACAAAATTAACTAGTGTAATTTAACAAAAATCCTTCCCGTGTTTTAATTTTTTTTTTTTTTTTTTTTTAGCAATAACTGCATAATGCAGGGCAATAGTGGCTTACCTGATGGATCGGAGCTTCTCACGGTGAGCTCATATGTCAAATCTGTGAAAAAGAAAGATAAGGCTGAAACATGGAACAAAGCACCTGTCTAACAAATTGCTCCCACAAACTAAGCTTTGAGGATTGAGAACGTTGTGCTTTGTTTTGGTCATTAGATCATTTTTTGCCGCCATGATAGTTCAGCTTTCATGCGTTTGAAATTCTCTGAAATATACTGACTTACCAGAGAACCAAGAAGCTGATTATGTATGCGCTCACCCGTGCATTGCTGCTGTAGTCGACGGATCTCTGCGTGAAGCCCCTTTAGTGTGTTAGCATGGTCCTGCTGCAGAAAAAGCAGGTTTTTCTGAGCACTGTGCAGCTGATTCTCCAGAGTTACGTTTGCTGAGGCCATGGCGATATCTGTTTGGATTCCCACCACCCCTGGAACCTTAAACCCACAAAGACAGAAAATGTCAAGCCGTCCAGCACACACAGACTTTGTCAGTTCATCCTACAAACCACGAGGGCATCAAGAAGCTCCACAGCATATTGGAACATCCTTTTGTTTTATGTTAGTAAAACAGTGTGACATCATGCTACGGCAATAAAAATGACATTTATTTTAGAATGTTTATGTACATCTTTATAAAACTGAAAGAAATCCCAATATTTTGAGGCAATATCGTAACTATGATAAAATAACGACAAGAACTTTCAAAGAAATGTATCATGATAAACGATACGATACATGCTCACCCCTAAGAATCTGTCAGATGAGAGCATCTACTGCAGTGACTCCATCCAACAGGCTGAGTATCATATCAGCATGCAAAGTGTGAATTTACAACAATATATTAGCCAACAAATTCTGCATTCCAAGCAGTCCTTTACGACTTAATTGGATGATGGTCTGTTTGAGATCCATTATGCAGCCCTACTTGGGAGATATTTTTTAACAAACTGAGATTCATGCTCAGCATTAGATGAAATATCTGATCCAGTATCTATACATGACTACCAAAGACACCGAAGCTTCATACACTGATGCATACGATGCTCCCACTGTTTGCGGCAGGTCAGCCTGCAGGGAAAAACAGGGGGGAAAAAAAAAAAAAAACTCATCTTCCTTCCTTGTCATGCCCCACCCTCCAGACCACAAGAGACATAATCACTCGGTCTAACAATCTCTACCCTCTGAGAGACACCAACATCAGACTAAGAGATAACAGCACATTGATCCCTGTATACTCCCCACCCCTCCACGCCCTCTCTCTGCATACAGGAACGAGCTTCAATTAAATATCCCAGACCTTCTCACTCTTACATCACCATCTCACCAACATGAATAATTCATTCTAAGACACCTGACTGAGCAGGCTTCCTTGTTTCAGCGGATGCGCAAACGTTTTCATTTTCATGGGGAAAAGTAAGAGGCGGTGCCAGCACCAAAAACCCAGACTGTTTAGAACAAACGCAGCCAGCGGTGTGTCATAAAGGCTGAGGGGATAATCTATTATTGATGAGTAATGTGAAGTCCTTCCGGTAAACCCTGCGCTGCAAGCATATCTCTCATCCCAGCTCTTTCCTAGAATAGCTCAGAAAGCTTTCCGCTCGCAAAGACATGACCTCAGACAACTTCACTATCAACACGGCTCATGCAACATACTGCAGAATGGCGGATATAAAAAGAGGATTAAGATTAATTTAATCCTTTCAATAAAGTTAATCAAATGTCATGTTTGGGTCTCCTTGCCCTGCGACAGGCTGGCGACCTGTCCAGGATGTACCCCGCCTCTCGCCCGGAACGTTAGCTGGAGATAGGCACCAGCAACCCTCCCAACCCCACTAAGGGACAAGGGTGTTCAGAAAATGGATGGATGGATGGATGTTTGGGTCTCCTTTGATTTTTGTTTTTTATGCACAAATACACCCATCTGTATTGCTTTTTCAAACTGAGATGAAGAATGATGAATTATACATGAGCTGCAGCAGCACGAGACATTAAGAAGGAGATACTATCCTAAGCCAACACAAGTCTCCTACTGTAACATTTTCAAATCTAATGCACTGTCTGCACATAAATACAAAGCATAACAAAATCTAAGTGCTAAACATTCATTGTTAGTTTGACTTTTACACAGATATTTGCAAAAGTATTGAATAAACACTGGCTAAACTTTGAAGCAATACTACTAAGGGGTGTTGCTTCTTTAGGCTTCACAGCATTACCGTGTCTGCTATTTGTGATCATAAATATTTCCAAACAGCTAATGTTTTTCTTGTGAACGAGGGTAATTGTTGTAGACTTTTTTCAGCCAGCTGACCAGCAGCACACAGAAACAAATTCAAGTTCAAAAATACTTTACTGAGCCCAAAGGGAAAGTAAATGTTGTTGTTGTAACTCATATTTATTCACTCTTTAAAGCACTTTTCTGCTTTTTCTGGCATCTCAAAAAATGCCTTTAAGAAGCATGAACAATATGCAGGTAGATATTTGCCAATTTGGAACAGTGACTTTGTAAGACCTTGTTATAATTTGATACCTGGAGCTGGTGCTGCCTGTGTTAATCAATATTTTCCCAAAAAAAGAGAGTCTAAATGATAAACAATACATGAATCACAGCAGGATGAAACATTAGGAAGTAGCTAAGCCAATACAAGCTCTTAGTAGCAACTTCCTGTAATCAAGCTCAACAATGCGTTATTGTACATTAAGTTTTTGCACTCTACCAGATTTCACTGGGAAATATACTGATTCTCCTGTTCTGATGTATCTGTAATTAGCTTTGTATTTTTGGAAAACCTACAAAGGTTTCTGTTCAAATCTGGTCCAAGGCATAAGCAAACTATTGCCTTGTTCACACTGCAAGATTTTTATGCCAATCAGAAAGGAAGGTGATAAAAATGTGGAGAAGAACTATCTTTTTGTTTTATTTTCTCTGTTAAAAATATTTCAGAAACCATCGCCTTTGCGTAGTCCTAGATGGCCATGTTTGTTAGCTCTGAACTCATGTTTGATCTCGCAGAGTTTTGTGAGATTTCCCATCTATCTGAATGTTCAGGAGTGAAATGTGTGGTGTGTTGTTCCTGCCGTGTGGCTGGACATCACACACTGTAGGACCAAACCTGCTATACCATAATTTTAAAAGACCAGTAATTAGAAGTTCATTATGACTTCAAGGCCAGCAGGGGCTCTCAAGAGTGTTTCATTTCTTACGCAGTACGTAGATCTCAATACATCAAATTTATAGATAAGTTTAAAAGAATATTTGATAATAATTTATATGAATTCATTTTAAATTGAAGTAATAATACACACAAATACATTTGCAATATTAAAGTTATGTTAACAATTCAATTTTAATTTGGCTAGTGTGTGCACTGGAGTTAAATTTCATGCAGAATCAACCTGCAACCCAGTTCTATCTATATTCAACCAATCCATCCATCTGCCCTTTCTAACTTCCTGGATTTGGGGTTACAAATCAAATTCGGATTTGGGCCCCGTTAAGTTTAGGGCCGGCCCTGCTCATGTTCCTAACACCAGACCTTTACAGCAGCAATAATAATAATTTTACAAGAGGAAAGAGTATTCCCACTAACAATTACTGCTTTTATTTCTAAGATAGTATAAATATCTGGCAGGAGGTCGGCAGGCATCCCTGATACTTTAGATTTCAGCACCTGCATTGCGGACAGCACCCTGAATACAATACCTCTGCTGCTCCTGACAGCAACAGCCGGGGGATCGTTGCTTCCCTCAAGCAGAGTCGTAAACTTTCAATAAGCAACAGTCAGGCTATGATATTCACTCTCGTTATCAAATAATGTATCAAAGCTCGACAAATCCTAGCCGTGCTGCTTCATAACAATACAAAGATGTCATCGCCGCATTTGGTGGGGTCATCACAAAGGGTGTCCTTGCAGCCAGTGTTGTGTTGTGTTGTGTTGTGTTGCGACTCAGGGAGGAGCTGTCCAGTGTAAGGAACCGCAAACAGGCTAGTTACGAGCCAGAAGCAACAAATCTTCCCTTGCAACAATTGCTGTACTCAAAAACGAAAATCCCTATCATGAAAAACCCTTACTGGCTTTCTGGGTGTTTCTGAAAATGCGACACCACCCACAAAATAGGGCATAACCCATGGTATTTATTGACGCTTTGCACCATTGCGCATGAATGAATTGACTGAGACAAGAATATTTAAAATACTTCAAACACTCATTACGGCATAAAACTAAGTCTGAACCATAAAACGCGCAGAACAAGCTCATACTGACAGTATTTTCGCAGTTTAATCGTCACGTTTTAATTACTGCAATAATTTCTCTGTTGGAGCAGGTGAATTATTAAGCTACTACGCCTTTATTGATGTAGCCTAGCTAGAAAGCTAAGGACGCCGAAACCGGCAGCCCAACGTTAACGGCAAATATTTATGTCGGCTTACCTTTCAGCTAAAAATACGTGGCCGTCAAGAAGCTGCTAAAGCGCAATGAATAGTGGTCGAACGGGCTAGCCGCAGCGGCTAAGCGCACTCCACCTTGCAGGACATGTCGGTGATGCTGCCAGCGGCTTGCCTCGGTCGGCTGTGTTCCTGTCAGATCTCCCTGAGCTACTAGACAAAATAAAGCGATGCACCATGGGAAGCCAGAGGAAATACTGACAACATACTCAACATTTATACTCTATTTTTATCTTCCAGTTTGTAATATTCATTACAAATACATTTATGAATTTTCAAAGACGTATATTAGAAAGAAGGGGGAAAAAACAGCGATTACTAACCTTAAATAATATAAACTGCGCAAGTAGCGGATGCCCTTAGTATGCGACCGTTTTGCGTTGATAAGCGTCATCACCATGGCAACGGAGTCCTTTCAATGCTCTTTACAGATGTATTTACGCCACCTAGCGATACTGTTGTAACGTTGCAATGCAGTGATAACGTTTTTATTGAGATATACATCCCGCCGGCGTCAGGTGAATACAGGATGGTAAAGGTAAAAAGATGTGAACGGATGTAAGGTTGGGAAAGCTGTTAGGCAGCTGGTGGACAGCAGAGGGCGGTATTACTCTTCAATGGTTTGTTTTGTTTTTTCTTCACTCCTATTGCTCTTTCTCCAAATCCACGCAGCATACTCTTCTGAGAGGGATGAAAAGTAGGTGGTTCTAGAGTTCTGAAAATTGCACTATGAACAGCCTTGTTTAAAACAAATTTGAATGTTTCGAAAACAAAACAACAAATCCATCATTTATTTGCCAAAGAACAAGAAACTGAGATACCCCGATATTCATTAATATTCAAAAACATATTCACGGATACTTTGTTTCCTTATGAATGATTCCACATCTACTATTGGCTGGACTCCAATGGGTTACACATGTAAAGTGAGTGGTAGATAGTTTAGTAAGGGTAAAAGAAAGCTCACATCAAAATACTAGGGATTACATTACACTGCCATGCTATCTATCCCTAAGAGTCAAAATTAGAGAAATGAATGAATGTGGAAAATGACAGACGCATACCAAAACTCTGTCTTATCTTTTAAATCATCTCAGCACTTTTCTCTCAAAGCTTCACTGAGTTCCTGAGTCTAGGGTATGTAAAGGTGGAAAAACAGAGGCCCTTTCATCGCTGCCCCAGAATATCACTATAAATTATTTCTGGCCATACAAAATCCACGGGAAGCGGCTACTGTGTGAAACGATACAAACCAAAAATATAAAAGATTACATTTCACGTCCAACCTCATAGTGAACCTCACATCTCCAAATATAAACAATCTAAGTAAGTGGAATTATTGTCCCCATCCAGAAATGTTATTTTTCAAAACAGACTTTAATCTCTTTCGGTCTTTGTCCTGTTTGCAGTAGGGATTAAATTCTCCTGATTACTTTACTTTTAGCATTTCTGGCACACTTCCCAGCTTCCAGTGAGTTAGGAAGTAAGAAAGTTATCCTCACACAAGAAGAAATCCCCAACAGAAACTCTTTTCCGCCAAATGATTTTCTTTTTATCCAGCCAGTTCCCTCTATTTATCTCAACATGCAGTGAAATATCTCATTAAGAGGAACTAAACAAATAAAAAATGAGCTCCTGTGAGTCTATGGTTTTATAGCCACTGTTGTCTTGACCTGTGCCTAAAGGGGATCAGATCAGGTTAAAATGAAGCTGAGGAATCTCCAGATTACATCCACCAACCAAAACTTCTCTTCCAGCAGAGGTTTGCTGTAAGTCTGGCATTACCCATAAGTATGTCTTAATCGAGCCCAGAGCCCGTCCTAGTTTGAAATTCATCTTTTATGCAGAAACCAAAGAAATGCTTTCTCTTGAACACAGGCATAAACTCAGAAATACGTGATACCATGCAGATGGAGGCGAGAGCTTTGGACATGAGCCTAAAATGTCTCTCTGATGGAAAACCAATAAGAGCGAGCAGTTAGGGAGTTAGGTTTTCTTTTTCTTTTTTAATTTTTTTGCAACTTCTTGGCAATTGTCACACTCACTGTGATCAAAAGTGAATTTATGTCATTTTTTAAAAATGCGTCTCATCGGTATAGTTACTGGATTTCACACAGAACTTTTTACAGAGGCACAAATGAAATGTGGGCACATCACAGCCCCTCCCATAGGGCACTTATTTTTTTTTAACTCGGTCGAGCTGCCAGCACAAACACTTCTCAGGTTGTAGCAGTTTTACAGTTTTTATATTGAGATTGGCAAAGCCAGTGCCTCTACAACTCTGAATACCCAATTTAATTTTCCAACACCCTTAATTTTATTAGCATCTGCCTATAGAAATACAGTCATCAATGTATCATTGACAGTAACATGGAGTGGCAGGGTTAAGGTTTCTGCTGCTGTGAAATGATTGAGTTTGTATGGTATAAACCTGAATATGTAACGTTGCCTTAGAGCTGAAAAGGTGAGCTTCACTTTTAGCTTTGTACAGGAAATTTTTGAAATGCGTTTTAAAGTGCATTTACTCTTTAAATGCTTTCCAGCTTCATCATAGAAAAGCTCCCAGAGTCTCAGCGTTGTAAATCCACCTCCAGGCAAAACAGCATCAGAGATGTTCCTATTGCCAAATTCTGGATACATTTCTCACTTGACACAGCTTAAAAATCTGCAACAAATGTTCATCAAGCCATTTAATGTACAGAATTATTAAGCAACAGAAGATATCACATAAAATCCAGGCCAATCTTGGAAGAAAACCTGCTGGAGGCTGTAGAAAAGTAAATATCAATTCAGGGGTCAAATGTAATGGTTTAGATCAAAAGCATAATCATTTAGTAAAATGGTCCAGTTAAAAACCCACATCTGGAAAGACTTGAAAAGTGTTGTTCACGTCCCGTCTTTATCCATTCTGAATGAGCTTGAGGTGTTTATGCCAAAAAAAAAAGAAAAAAAAGAAAAAAAAAAGAAAAATTGGGATACGTTTCAGTCTCCACAAAGTCAAATCTGACACAAACTCACCGTTTAACATTTTCAGCTTTAACTGCAGCAAAAGGTACCTGTAGTTTTGTAGAACATGAAGATAAATGCATGGCACAACATTCAGGTAAAGAAGTTTTGCAAAAAAAAAATCTTTTACTTCATTTAATGCAACGATTTGTGTTGACCGGTCATTAAAAAAAAAAATCCCAATAAAATACACAGAACTATATGACTGTAACATGACAACATACGGAAACATTTACCCTTATGCTTACGAATACTTATTATTACGAATAGCTTTGCAAGATATTGATTGATGGCTCATTAAATTTAAAATAATTCATTCTTATTTATAAGCTGCTACTAACAGGACTTCAAACCCCATAAATCAGGTGAAAAATAAAATGATAAAATTAGTGGAGTTGGGAGGGAAGGCACTTCGATTAAATAGGAATACATTTCTCTGACACAACTTCATGCCAAAGCTATATAAACTATAGGAAATTTACAAGCTGAGAAAGCAAAGAGAGGAAATTAGAGCCAGCATGTTACATGTTGGGATCCTGATGGACAGCCCTGCTGTGGTGTAATTGCATCCCTGCTGCCAAAATGTCCCTGCCTTTATTCTGGTAATGAGGCCAGACAGCAGGAACACAGCATTTTCTACGCAGCTTTTTTGACAGCCCATGGAGAGCAATGGATTTATTGCAGCTTAAAATTGACACATTAATTACAAAGTGCTAATGAAGCATTAATATCAGACTTTGATGTGGGTAAAACCCAAGGTGCCACCTTCTGCCAAGAATTTTTACCAGCGGGATCAAGTGAAATCATGAGGCTTTACAGCACAAAGTCAGAACAGTTTAAGAAAGATGAAGTCTGTCCCAGATTTCACCAAGGCGGAGACAGGGTGCACACTCAGAAACCGAGCCTGGACTTTTATGAGCAATTAACAGCTTATTTGCTGTAGATAAACTGTCTTGGTGTGATTTGGTAAAAACAGAATCTTCTGGTTAGTAAAAGCTGGAGCCTTCCAGAATTCGTTTATTCATCTATTTTTGACACCAAATTGTGTCTATTTTATTTTTGATGTGTTTGTTTTTCTGTTTTCTGTTCGAAGTTCAAGAAAATGAGCAGAGACTTTCACAAAGATCTGGAGTTTTAAAAAACACACAGTCACAGCGTGACTGTGTGACAAACGGTTATAAGGTCTGTGACAGCAGCTGTAAATAAGTAGGATGTACATAAAGAAGCTAATTTTAAGGTAATTTTCCGGCTGTGCTGAGTGACCAGCTGTGGACGGGTCAATCTGAAGCACTTTGATCCAGATGGACTTTTTACCTCAGAATATTACTTTTAAGATGTGAAAGTAATGTTGATCTTTTTACACCAAATTATTTTTGACAATTTTAAAAAAGGAAAAAAAAACCTCAAGTCAAAATAATAATAATAATAATAATAATAATAAAAAAGATAAACTGGAAAAGTTTTCTGGGGTTTTCTGGAATTGTACTAAACTGGTTCAGATATTGTTTGATTATTGAATACTACAACATATCATACTATATCTGAGCCTTTGACATACAACTTTTTAAAAACTGGCACTTAACCAGACCTGAAGAAGCAAAAGACTCCCAAACATCCCAAAAAAAAACCTACATGTGATTATAGACATTTATTACACACACACACACACACACACACACACACACACACACACACACACACACACACACACACACACACACACAAAAGTGCAAGAACTAATAGTTTCCTGTCAAATCACGACTCAGAAAACTGGCACATGCTTTTATTTTCACTAGGCTACTTTATACTCATGGTGTCTAAAATGAACTAGGTAATTGAAACAGATTAATGCTGCTGCCACAGTCCTGACCAACATTAGGAATAGGAATATATTATTGATATAATGAATTACATTATGTGGAGTCACTCCCTATTTGTAAAAGGATACAATTTAAATTCTAGTAGAGGATCTATAAGGCCTCAAATGATTGTGGGCCTAAATGTATTTAAAGTTGATGATCCGGTACGAACCACGTAGATCCTTCAGTTAATCAGAGACCAACTCTATCAGTCTCCAGAGGACGAGAACCAGGCAGGATTTAGTCTCTATGCTCCACAACTCTGGAATCAATTCTCTGAAAACTGGAGCTGTGCAGAAATATTTGCTTCCTTTGAATCCAAACTGAAAACATCACTGTTTTCACAAACATTTCCATAAAGATTAAAAGATAGTGTTGTGGGTTCGTTTTTATCATCACTTATTCCTGCCTTCACCTGGCATAATTAATTTAACGTTTCAGAGTGTGAAGCTCTAAACGTTAGGCTTCATGCTGCAGGGGTTAAACACTGGCTGCTGTTCATGCATCTTCCACATGGATTCCAGCGCCTGCGTGATCTCCTGTAGCCTTGGGCCCGCTCCAGTCAAGCTGGCCTACTCATCCTTTAGAGGTGGACTCCA